TAAAACTGAGTTCTAGTAGCACGCCATCATTTATATTTTCTTAATTGTGAACAGAGACCTATGACTACTCTTTTGATTTCGTTTTCCCTTCTGAAGCTAAATTAGATATTTCCTCCGTGCTAACACTGTGTTTAATAGACATAAATCCAATGGCTTACTATTATAAATTAATTTTTTTTTACCTTTTCTAAATTAGATGTGCGATAAAAAATAAATACTGTTCTTTCTATATTCGTTTACGTATGAATTTCGAATAGCAAATTATTCGATTTGTTCGAATAGCAAATTATTCGATTTGTTCGAATAGCAAATTATTCGATTTGTTCGAATAGCAAATTATTCGATTTGTTCGAATAATGCCCTATCCGATTCGTATTTGAATAGATATACGAATTAAAATTATTATTATAATCTGAGTTAGGAACCCTAACCTCCTTCTTTTATAATTTCTTATGAATGGGGCCATCCCCTCCCTCTAAAATTCTATAAAACTTGAACTGCTTCTAATAACTCTGTCCTAGCTCAATGAAATTCGCTAGAATTTTCGTGCCGATCTTAAATAACATTAATTTGATGAATTCAAGCGATTAAAAATTAGTAACCACTTTCGGTGAGCTATAAGAAGAGGTATTAGGAAAGCGTGTTACATCGTTCAAAACCGTTTGCTTATTAATAGAAGATTTAGAATCGCGATCAGAGGTAGTGACCCGGCCTCTTCCCGACCCGACCCGAAATAAAAATTAATTACAATAATCCGGTCTAATCCGGCCCCGGAGTCTGTGATCCGGGATTTGCGGACCTCTAATCATAGCCCTCCACTTGAAGCGCCAAAGGAAACTGAAACTTTTTTTTTGAGTTTCAGCTTACAGATTCAGGTTTTAAATATAATTATAATTTGTTTTTTTTTAAATTGTTTATCGCGATTTATTGTTTTTTATATTTTACAAAAAAAACATCTAAATTTATAAAATATAAATTTTTAAATTTATATATATATATATATATTTTTATATTTTCTTCAAAAAATAATTTTTGAAGAATAAAAAAGGTAGGTAGGAAAAAATAAATTATAAAATAATATTTTATTATTTTTATTTATTATTTAATGAAAAAATTAAAAAAATATAAAATTTTATTGTGTCAAGGATTGCATAGGAGTAAATTACAACATTAAATTTTAATTTGAATTTTTTAAAAATAAAATAAAAAATATTAATGTAAATAAAATTGTGAATGGGTTTAAAAAAAAAATATAAATAATAGGCTCTTTTTTTTGTAATACATGAGGTTTGAAATGACGAATAAAAATTGTGGGAAATGGAATAATGAATTGATCTATCTGCATGGGGTCTAATTTTTCAAGCTCTTATCCCGAAAGAACTTTTTCTTTATTAGCTCCGGAAAGCTCTACCCTTAAATAAAAAATCCGACTAAAATAATAAAAAGCCCGACCCGACATAATAAAAAGCCCGACCGAAACAAAAAAATCCGACCCAAAATAAAAAGCCCGACCGGAAATTTAAAAAAAGCCCCGGACCGGTATTTGTATAAAAATTTAATATATTTTTTTTTTAAATTTGTAAAAATAAATATTCTTTACAATTATATTATCGACACTGTTTTCTTTGCGAGAATTTTAAAATATATCGACTTATTCCACATGAGTGATATCATATTTAAAAATTCAAGCCCAACCCGGCCCGGCCCAATATTTTTTAAAAAATTTAAGCTCGACCCGGCCCGGTCCAATATTTTTTAAAAAATTTAAGCTCGACCCGGCCCGGTCCAATTGTTTTAAAAATATTAGGCTTGAGTTCGTTTACGTGATGATTTAAATACTTTTTTTTTAAAAAAAAATTGAATGAAACCTAATATGTGTCGAGCGGGGCTCGTTCCAAAATGAATCTATATTGTACTCGGTAGAAAACCACATGATGGCCACTAGAACCTGGAAGTCACTTACGGACCTACCCGGAGAAATTTAATTTTTTGAAAGTTTTTGGAGCGGCAATCGCTTCCAATATCGATTTCTTATTTTTGAAACCATATATATAAAAACAACTGACAAAATTATTTGGAAGGTTTAAAATCCCAAAGTCAAAGTCGCAAGATTAGCTCGAATAATGATCTGGGCCGGGTCGGTCAATGTGTGCAAAATATATCAGACCGAAGTTTTGAAAAATATTTTTAGAGCTGATAAATTAGCTAAGATTATCTCATTTTCTCCCTCATAATTATAGGAGGGTTGAAACTTGCACAAAATATATTTTTTAAGGATAACTAAGAGCAAGGCAGAAGGAAAAACTGGATAGGGAATTTTCATGGCTCGGTTATCAGACTTCTAGCCCGCCTTTACCCATTAAAAAGTATCATGATACTGCATCGATGATACAATCTTTATGCAGTGACGATACATTTGAAATTTCAATGTGTATAAGTGGCCTCGGTGCGATGCATATGTATTGGCATCGATAAAAACTATACCTTAAATATTAAAAAAATCCTCTATTTTTCAATAAAAAGCTTTGAAATAAAAGGAATATTTAATTCTTTATATAATAATAATAATAATATTAATAATAAATTGTTAATTTGATTAAATTGAAGAGCCGAAATTATTATCTTTACATTATAGTTTTCTCTATTATTTTAATATATGCGTCAAAAAAATTTAGATAAATTTTAGCTATAATTATGGTTCCTTTTTGGGAACACAATTATGAAATTGTATCTTTAATTTTATAGTGTTTTAAATATCATAGATATTTTTAATAAAATATTGTTATAATAAAAATTTTAAAAAATTTAGAAATATAATAAAAATTACTTTGAACATAAATTATTTATTAAGGCTTTTAAATATAAAAAAATAATTAAATTTTTTTTATCATTTTATTAAATTAAATAATTCGGCCTATTTTACATTTTATCTTAAATTTATATAAATATTAAAATAAAAAAATCATTTGATGAAAATAATTTATAAAAACAAAAGCCTTGATAAATTTTTTTATCATAGAGAATGTAAAGATTTAGCCATTTTAATCATTTACCTAATCCTAATAGTAAACAACTATTTATTGTATAATATGTATTGCAAATAATTTAATATATATGTATTTGTTAATTATTTACGACATATATAAAAAAAAGTATTGATAGTTTATATTTACATATACTGTGTCAAATACATTCGAGGAAAATGTAATTGTATAAGCATTGATGGATCCTGTCTAGAATTTGTATCGATATTGGATCTGGTACATTATAAAAGTATAACAAATCTGTTTATGAGTGTACCCTAAAGTGGGTAAAGGTATGAATCAGCTGCTTCATAAAATATAAATGAGTGAGTGAACCTTTGAAGCAATTGTTTCAAAGTATAAAAATATACCCTCATGATGAGGTTATTTTTATTTTAGCATTTTAATTTTATTTATTGTTTAACCCGCATTACCAAGAAAAAATTTCATCTCTTCTTTATTGGTTATCAAAAAATTATTATAATAAAACAACAAATTTAAGAAAAGGAGAGAGGGTGTTTGGATACTTTTCCAGTTTAAAGGATATATGCATTTATTGAGTATATTAAATCCAAATCATCCTTAGTTCTTTTCCTTGAAATTTCAAACAATTCTCTGAAATGTTACCCAAAAACATATGTTCAATAAATTATTGAACATTCCCAAATATAAGGGGCAATAAATAGAAATATCATAAAAGAAATTTTAACAGGATTTAAAAAAAATGTATTTTGGAGTAAAGGCAAGATGTTATTTCTTATTAAATATATATTAATTGGCATCTAATAATCATACAAAGGCAGTTAAAAAAATTGGGTACTAATGGTTTAATAAATATGCTTGTTAAAGAATCCCAAATAAGTTATTTTAATATAGTATTGTATAATGTAATGATGATGTCAAAAATGAAGTTAGTTAATAGAGAAAGTATGTATTATCTTTCTAATGGTGACGCCAACAATATTAATGAATAAAGGTTAATGAGCAAAATCAAGCTGATAAAATCTCAACTTTGAGGCACAATGAGAAATCTTTTTTTTTTAGTAATTTAAGAATTTTATAAGTGGAATAAACATTATTTAGAGAATTAGATAATTGATAATGCTAATAAAAATATGTTTGTATTTTCTTTCTTCCATTAATTTGTCAAAAAATGATTAATATTGTTATTTTTTAAAGCAAACCCTTTATTCTTCTCTCTTGCAATTTTAATATATATACTTATTTCTTTCATTCCCTTGGTATATTAAAATAAAAGATGTATACATTTTAACATTATTTATTTATTGGTGTTAGGTCTGATGCTAAAATTCTTAAATCTTCATTAATGATCCTTAAATATGCAATATATTAGCTAAAATCCTGGCTATATTATATTTTAAATTGTGGAATAAAAATAAAAAAACTTTTCAATAATATTTTAAAATAAGCATGTAATTAAAGAAGGGGGTGGGGGGGGGGGGTAACAAATTTTTATAACAATTACTGCTTCTTTTTTATGTGAATATTTTTTTATAGGAAGCTATTTTGCTTTATATTCTTATGGAACAGTAGAAGGCACTGTGGTTATTAATGATATAAATATATGTTCATATTAAAGTTAAGAAACAAAAAAAAGAGTAATAAATAAACCCAATCATAACTTTAAAAAATATATGATATAGGATTTTTTAACTGTAAAAAATCTTCAAGAGAGATCTGTAAGTAAAGCTAGCATAGATTTATATAAGATTATATATTTTTATACATTTTCTTAATAATGGAAAATAAAGCCTTCTTTTAAAGCTTAGAAAAATTAAACAAATAATATGAAGAAAGAAAAACATAAATGAGCCAGTAAAGGCTTAAAAAATATCATTTTAAATAATCTATTGCATGATTAATAATTTTTATTTAATTTAAATAAATGAAAAAATTAGAAATACTTTTAAATCATTTTCTACATTATAAACATATATAAATAAATTATTATTTTACCCATTGATGCCCATGTTAACCCATTCATTCGTCATCTATAGAAAATTGAAAAGAGGCAAAACATACATTTTTTCAAATTTTAAATAAATAACAAAAACATCTGTTAAATATATCAAACCACTAGTAAATTTTTTAAATTTTTTTAATTCCAATATAAAAATTTAAACTAGCTATTTATAAAGACTATCTCATTATGTAATGTATAAAGATATTAATTTATAAAATTGCTATCAATCTTTAACTATAAATGCGTCTCTAATATTTCAATCTCATGGGGCTCAAAATATATTTTTTTAAATTGTTTATAAAACATTTTATCCTAACTTATTTTATTCTTATCTTTTTCATATTAGATCGAATGACCTTTGACAAATCTTTGTTTTGAATCAGACCTCTTCCATATATTTTATTATTTACCAGAAAATCTGGTTTTTATTAGTAAAACATTTGTGATATATATTTTTTTATAAAAGACGATTCCTTCCTTAACCATAAAAATATCAACTATAGGTCTCGTAGGTTTGTAGATTTTAATTATATTTAATTTTATTTAATATCAAATCTCAATCAAATAATCTATAAATGTAGATTTTAAGATTTTATATATAATTATGTATAATATCAATGTGTGTTGGTCCATTTTCAATTCCATTTTTAATTAATGTTAATCTATTGTGAAGGATACGTTAATGTTGTTCATTTTGAATTAACTATCCATTTCTAATTAATGTTAACAACTAGCGTCACTGATGGGGGTGGGGGCTGAAATATTTGAATAGCCCCCTGTAACAAAAAAATTTTTTTTTACTGTCTCTCTAATATACCTCTGAACTAAAATAAATTTTTTTGTTAGCCCCCTAAACGATTTCTGTAAGTAATATATGTAAATTTGATTTTATTATTTAAAAATTAATTAGACTATCTAAATTTTTATTATATGATTGCTATTTTAATTATTAGATTAAATTAATATATATAAATTAGATTTTCACTATGTCAGCTTGCACAATCAAATTTTGTGTTAATAAATTATAATGTCTAGATATCAATTTAACATTAACAATTGAAGCTTAATTGATTTTTATTATTTAAATTATTTTATAACCCTAATTAAATAAAAAAGATCATTTATTAATTGAAAATTAACAAATTTAATATTGTAATTAGCCGAGTTTAAAATAACTAATCCATTTTTTAATTATCATGCCTCTTCCTAATAATATTTCCAAGCTCTAAACAAATATAAGAAATTTCAAGTAAGTAGACATATAATTGATAATCCTCTATTATATAGAATTTGTTACAAAATATTAGATAAAAGCCACTTTTACAGACATTTTTGAAAGTTATAAATATATTATAGTTACTATTTTAATAAACTTTAATAATCAATGCTTTTAATAATAAATATAATATAGGTAACATTTTGCATTCAATTCCCATACATTTATTTTTAATAAAATTATATTATTAAAAATTAAACATCTTATTATTCATCCCACAATGGATGTGTTGAATATGTTGATCGATGTTATTTTATTATTTATTTTGGCAATTGATTTATTTTATATTATATCAATTTGTATTTATATTTAGTCGGTCAAAATTTTATATTAACATTTTTTTTAACATCAATTTGTTTTAGCTATTTATTTTATTATTGTTAAAAAAAAAGATATATAAAGAGGATAAAAAAAATGTAATTTAATTTTTAAAATAAAAATGTAATTTATCATATATTAAAATTTAAATTATGATTTAAAAATAAAATGATAGTAATAAATGTGGATTTTAATTCAATTTTATCATGGTGGCCAAGACGAGTCTCGAACTAGCGACCTTCGCGTTATCAGCACGACTCATCAAAGGTAAATTTAATGGCATTCAGAGAATTATTGAGAAAGTGAGAGTATCCTCGTATTCCAAAGATGTCAGGAAAGCGGTAAAAAGCTCTATGACCATGGAAGAAATTTACAATCTAGGTCTAGAGGAGCGGACCCAAGTGGCATCAAGGGCGAGATGAAATTGTTGCATTTGAATGAATCACCTGGTGTACAAGAGGTTAATCACATGGACAGAGTCAAAAATAGTTACGTAACAACAAAACCCATTCAGGACTCTCACGCACATGGTAAATCTCTTATCAAGCAACCCCAGTTTATCAATGACAATCGCCCAACACAGCATTTATAAGAACGTTACGATTTACGCTACGATAACTACCGCGACAAGCGATACAACGGATGCTACAACAACGACCTAGGCAAACGATCCAACGGACACTACGAACGATACAACAATAGCGGGTACAACGTCCAAGGCAATCGCCATGACTCTTATTGTGACCATCATCAAAACCCTGATCGACGGGATGACTGCTATAGAGGTGATAACTGAACCAACTATTTCCGTCGTCAGCACAGACACAACCCTCAAAATATTAATGGTTTTCCGTTCGCCGAGGCCCAACCAGTACAAAAATGACAATAATACTTACAATAGATGTTCTGATTACAAAGATCGTGATTGTCAATTGAATACGAACCATGCTATGAACATCAAGTAATTGATGATAACGATGACTCAAACACAGACCTTAAAGAATATAATCTGCAGAATTTGGAAGTGCACAATATGGGGGTCAAGGATACCATATATGACGCGCAACATGACAGTGAGCATTAACAACATACCCACGTTGATGCAAGTTGACACCAGTACTAAATACAGTATACTTCCGAAGCTGACAGCTAAGACTGTAGGCATAACCACGATACGTAAGACGGACATGATACTCACTGGTTATGACGGCAAGCTAGCAAGATATTAGGTCTTGCCAATGTGAACATTAAGTATGAAGGAAACTCACATACACTGGAGGCTAGTGTTTGCAACGGTCCGGTCTGGTCCGGTCTTATCAGACTTTTCGGTCCCATGGGACGGTCCCGTTCAACAACACGGTCTCACGGTCCGGTCCGGTTCGACCGAAGACCGATTAAAGAATATAAAAGTTTACTATAAATTGCTTTATAGTTAATGTGTATGTACATGAACATATAAAATATGATTATTTAATGCCTAACACTTTATAATATCTAATTCATCGTTTACTTTTTATATTCTTCCGTTTCATTAAATTGAATATTCATAGTTTACTTTTTATATTCTTCCGTTTCATTCAATTAAATTCAATCGCCTTCAAGTATTTTAATTTAGTAGGGTAGTGAAAGGATATTTTCTAAATCTAATGATAAAATAACTAAAAAACGCAATAGAATGAATCCAAAGATGGTTCAATCTATGATGGCACTTGAATCATGGATAAAAAATGGAATCATTTTTGATTTTAGATAATTAAATTATTTATATACAATTTATTTTATAACCAAATATATATATCAAAAAAATTAATTAAATATGTAAATCATATTCATATTGATATAATTTATATTAAATAAATTTGTATTTTAATATTCTTTTGATTAGGCATTTGTGTATAATATAATAAAAATGAATTGATGATATAATTGAAATATTAATAGGGTAGTTTAACTATTCATTTTTAATAAATTTAAATGCAGAATAAAACTTTTGTAGCTATAAAAAAAATTTTTGGGTGGGACCAGACCGCCTGACCGACCGGACCGACGGTCCCACGGTCCGGTCTCATTTAACTTAACGGTCCATCGGTCCGGTCCCATTTTAGAGAAAAAAGACCGGACCGGACTGTTGCAAACACTACTGGAGGCCATTGTCGTGGATTGTGATAAGATCCCCCTGAAGACGTATGTGGCTCCATATCTCAACAATAAAAACGTTCTTAGTGGGTAATGTAGAGAATGATCTCGAGAAGATAATCTCGACAACAAAAAAAGACCTCGAATCAACTTACTCCTACAAACCCAAAATGGCCAGACAAGAGAAAGTTTACTTGAAGCCCGATGCTGTGCCTAAGATCATACCTTCAAGGAGAATTCCGTGTGCCAAGATCGATGCAACGACTCAAAAATTGAATTGCTGGCTGAAGCACGACAAAATAAACCTTGCTCGAAAGGAATCTAGATGTCCGCATGCACAAGTGATCCGGTTTGGAAATTAGCTAGGGGTTGTCTTTACTTTACCAAGCCATCAGAAGACTGCACCATGAACATGGGTGGCGTATTGCGTGGTGATCATGAATGCTAATGCCGTTACCACTCAACTTATCCAAGGAAATCATGAGTCGAATTTCTTTGGAGGGTGGAATGTTAAACATGTTGATCGATGTTATTTTATTATTTATTTTGGCAATTGATTTATTTTATATTATATCAATATGTATTTATATTTAATAGGTCAAAATTTTATATTAACATTTTTTTATACATCAATTTGTATTAGTTATTGTTTTTATTATTGTTTAAAAAAAAATATATAAAGAGAGATAAAAAAAATGTAATTTAATTTTTAAAATAAAAATAAAATTTAAATTATGATTTAAAAATAAAATGATAATAATAAATGTGGATTTTAATTCAATTTTATCAGGATGTAATTCTAACTTTATAAGTTTTTTCCTCCTCTTTTCTTTGAGTGTTTTTAGGAAAGCTATATTTTTCTTCTTTGAAAACAGTTTTGAGTTAAATTTTTAATACGTTAATATTTTGATATTATTATTTAAGACATAATATATATACAAGAGGTTGTGCGGTGCAACAATAATATATAAATTCTATATGCTTTCATCATATAACTCTGGTCCTTATTTCCTAGTTACTTAATCAAATTTCTAATATGAGTCTTCAATATATTAGCATATGAAAATTAAAATTTTTTGGAAGAAAAAAATGATTATAATAGCTTCACGATATTAATGCTTCTTCTAATGATTTTTAGTGTTTTTGTTTTATCAAGTAATCTAACATAATAAATTCTGATATGAGTTTATATCTTGTGTCTTGGCTATGAACTGCAAATTAGCCAGCTTATTTGTATGGCTATTATAATTTAAGATTATTACTCCTGCTGCTGAGAACATTTGATTGCATAATTTAGATGTGCAATAATGTTCAACTGTCTAGTGGTTTATATATCATTAAAAATGTAAGATAATCTTTTAGAAATTTGATATCTTACAAT